TGTTTGAGTCAGTCCGTAGCCTTGTTACATACCTGTAGGGTTGATCATGAGCGCTGGGGAAGGGGCTGGCCTTGGGTGGGGGGCCTGTCCCTTTGTCTCCTTTCCCCAATTCTGAGATGGTCCCCGCTCATTGTTTCCCTGCAGATTATCAACTTCGTACCAGCTAGAAGGGAGAAGTGGGGGCTTGAACATGGGCCGTCCTCTCCCCAGGCCCCGACTGCGAACTCTAGAGAGAGAGAGGGAAGATGGGATGCGTGTGTGTGGCGGGGGACGGCAGTCCCTGAATTAGCAGTTTCTTAAGGGCTGGCTGGCTCCCAGCCTTTTCCTTTACCCATAGGCTGGGAGGGATGGTCTCCCTGTCACCAGGCTCCCGCCCCTCCCCCCTCCCATTTTATATGAAGAAATAGAAAAGGGGCTTGAAGTCCCCCTCATGAGTGCCTTCTTGCAGTGACCTACCTTAGGAGGTGTGGGGAGGCCCCCCTCCACAGCTGCTGAGCGCAGAGGCCCTGCTGGCCCATTCTGAGTTTTAGGATGGCATTAAAAATTAATCTAGCTGCTGTTATGTGTTTCTTGGCTGGGGGCTGGGAGGTGCCAGGGCTGTCCCCTGAAGTGCTGGGATAAGCGTGAGCAACACATATCAATTTCTCATCCCGATTGCCACTCATCTGGGCCCTCGCAGTTGCCCCCACTTTGGTTCCCAGGGCTCTGGGCTTCCCTCCCCCACGACAGCCAGTTACCATCATAGCCGCCAGAGGGCGCCCGTTAACTCCTAAATCAGATCATAGCTCCATTCTTTTTAAAAAAGTAAAAGTCAAGCGCTCACAGCAGCCCACAGGCCTGATCAACATTACCCCTCCCCGTCCCCTACCTGCCCTCACCTCCTGCCCCCTCTCTCCCTCTATACCTCACTCTTCCTGGACTTACTAGGCGTGCTCCTACCTTAGGGCCTTTACATCTGCAGCGTCTCCACTTAGTATGCTTTCCCCCAGATATCCACATGGCTCCTTCCCTCACCTTCAGGTCTCAAATCAAATGTCACCTCCTCAGGGTGGCCCTCTCTGACCTCTCTCTTTCAACGGCCTTCTTTTCCCAAGAGACTATTACTTATCCCGATTTGTCAGCTCCACACTGTGTACCATTCTGAAAATATGTAATTATTGTCTTCTCCAGCCCTAAACGGTAGGCGTCCTGCAGCAGGAGGCACCCAGCTTGCTCTCCACTTGGCCGCCTAGTACACAGTAGGTGCTCCGTAAATGTTTGAAGGTCTCTGTTAAGAGCCTCCGAACGCGACTCTCGCCTCCCAGGTTCACCCACGTGGCAACTGCAGCGTGAACTTTCCTCCACGCCCTTGCACTTGCCGTGCCCCGGCTGGCCCCATCTGAGCCGAATGTGATTCCTTCCTCATCCACCCCATTTCCACGTTTTATTTTCTTCACCGTGCTTAAGACTATCTAAAATTATTTAGTTGCTTGAATGTGCGCTCCCCAGCGCCGGGTTCCTGCACACAGAGAACGGTTCCTGAACACAGTGAATGAATCAAATAAAGCGCTCAGCACAGTAAGAGCTAATAAATACTGATCGCACGGTAGAACTCCGAACAGGGCGGCCCCAGCCCTGCCTCCCTTTCCCTCGGAGGTGCCGAGGTCCCGGAGCGGCCCGTGCTACTCAGCTCCTGACCTTTCTCCCCTGGGTCAGTTAAACCGGCCCTCTTTCCCGCCCGCCCGGCGTATTTGAAAAACTGAAAACCCCGCCATTGCCGGCGGTCTATCGGTCGCCGCAGCTCGCCCAATTAGAAGCGGACCCGCCCACGCCGGTGTGCACAGCCTCCCTGGCGACGCGTTGCCATTGGCTGCGCTGGCCGAGTGGGCGGGGCACTATAGGGTCCAGAGCCGTGCAATGCAGCTGGGCTACAACCTAGCTAGTTCTTAAGAAAACGAATCCGCGGCGTTCGGGGGCGGGACCCCGTGCGCGTTGGCTCCGCCCCCTGGCGGCCGGTTCGTCTGCGGCGTCGGCGTCTGCTCAGAACAGACCCCGCCCGTCGAGGAGGAGGGAGGGTGAGTTGGGGGAGACCCGGCCCCCAAGGGGCGGGCGCCGGGCCGGGCGCTGCGGGCCTCGGAGGGTTGGGCTCGGGCCCACCGGCCGACAGGGGGAGGAGCCGGCCGGGAGGGCGGGGGTCGCGCAGGAACCCCGGACTGGCGAGTCAGACCAGGAGCCTCGCGCAGGCCGGGGACGCTGTGGGAGGGTTGTTCGGGCCAGCGCCGGTGGGCTTCCCCCGCACTGACCGTGTCGGGGTGGGGCGGGGGGCTTCGCAGGCCGCAAATATCGACATGCTGCTGGAGGAGGTCCGCGCCGGCGACCGGCTGAGCGGGGCGGCGGCCCGGGGAGACGTGCAGGAGGTGCGCCGCCTTCTGCACCGCGAGCTGGTGCACCCCGACGCCCTGCACCGCTTTGGCAAGACGGCGGTGCAGGTGAGGCCCGGCC